CGTACGTTAACTAAGTACGACACGACGACTACTACTTTTACTTTACTTACTACTACTTACTATAGGTAGTAGCGAGTACGTACGTAACGTAGGTGGTGATCATCACTCTCTCTCTCTCTCTCTCTCTCTCTCTCTCTCTCTCTCTCTCTCTACATATATGGAAAGAACAAGTTTATGATTCTAAACTGTTTCACCAGCTTGATCTCAATGTAAGCACACAGATCTAAAGCATGTTACCTAAGTAGTAGAGATTCCCAAGACATCTATCATCTTCATTTGATCAGATCAGAAAGATCACCATGTTTTTTTTTTTTTGAATTTTAGAAAGTAATATCACCATTTACCATAAAACAAAACAAGGAGATGATCTTTGACGAAATTTAAAAATAGCGACTTAGACTAGAGTGTATCAGCAATTTATAAAAATCGCAGGCAGTAGTTTTGTCAAGTTGAATGGCTCAGATCTGTGAAACTCTATATCAAACATACGTTTTAACTGAATTGTAGCGATCAACCACCCAGAGAGAAAGGAAGTATACATGCACAGGAAATACCGTTATCAGTAGTTTGATTCTCAGAAATCTATGAATTTGCAATGCATGAATGAGATGGATGGTGAGAAGAGCGCTTACAGGTAGGATACTCCCCTATTACAATAGCCTTAGAAATCTTGCGTCCAGGTCTACGTGATGGTCAAGGGTCCTCCAAATTAAAGAGAGATGCAAGTTCTTATCCCAAAGAGTAGAGAGAGAGAGAGAGAGAGAGAGCGAGAGAGAGAGAGTTATTTTGGGAGGTGAGGGGAAGAGAGAGAAAGCGGTATTGTTGCAGGGTTGAGCAAAACCAAAACTAAAAGTATCCGTCGTCCTGGGAAATGGAGCCTTGAAACTTGGGTTTTGTACTTTGGGAACAGAGTATGTAGGAGCACAGCGGATCCCGAGGACAGAATGCGAGTTGTGATTGGACAAGAGGAGGATGTTTCTCTTTCTCTCTCTACCCACAAAAAAAAAAATAAAAGCAGAGAGATTAGAGAATTGGGAGAAGTGAGAGAAGATGAGGTTAAATACCCAAAAACCCAACACCACCCTAATTATCTCTCCTCTTGCTGGATTGCAGGAAAAGCTTGTGAAAGAGCACAAGAAATTAGTTTTTTAATGAAAAATAATAAAATAAGGAAAAAAAGTAATAAAAAAAAAAGTAAAGAGGTCACCCCCACCCACAACGATAGAGACCAGAAGACCCCCTCACAGACCGGGGGAACAAACAAGGTCAGGATTACAGAGAGAGGGCAAAGGGGAGAGGATTAAGGAAGGGAATGAAAATGAAGTGAAAGAGAAAAAGGGGGAAGAAAATCATGAAAAATGAATAAGAGAGAGAGGGAGAAAGGGTTGGTGACGTAATGAAACAACCTATACAAAAAGCTCCTTTTCTTTCTCTTCTTTTTCTTTTCTTCTCTCTTAGCTTCTACGGGCCCCACTTCAAGGAGATAAATTTGTTCTGACACTCAAATGACCATATTACCCTTACTTATGGTCCTCAAACGACGAGCCAGCCGTCAACTCACTGACATTTCTCGGACTGGGAATGTGAACCAAAAGCTTGACCCGATAGGAACATTAAGCCCTGTTTGTTTTGAAACTGTGCGTGCGATATTACGATTGTGGGTATAATAGTCATTATGGAAATAGGGCAGGGGCTATTCGGACATTGTACGAGAGATGGGGCGCTTACGTTCTTCCCTTCGAATGCTTGGTGTTTTATGAGAGGATTTATTTATTTTAAATAAAATTTATTAGAGGAATGAGGAAATGTAAAAGAGGAGGGGTGGACCGCCACCAACCGACTGGGGGCATTAAGAAAGGGACGGCTCTCCAAATGGGAACAAAAAACAAGGGGCCGACCATCCAGCCGCGGCGCCAAAGATGAGCCGATTGGTGCGGTGTTGTGCGGGCCACGGGGAATGATTGGGTGTTGGGGGTGCAAATGAAATTGCAAAGGTAAGGGGCTGACCCCTGGTCTGGCGTGGAGGCTCTTCGATCATTAGCCCGACCCATTTCAACCCTCTCTCTCTCTCTCTCTCATCCACTCTTATTTTTCTCTCTCATACTTACAAAACTTCTCTTGTCTCTGACCCTAACCGTAGGACCAATGAGCTAGCCCACTCCACTCACCCTCCATTTTTTGTTCTCCGGCACGACTCTCCGATGCACTGACCGGGAGTTTGTTTGAAGCCTCTTCTGTTGTGCCCCTCGCACACGCACATGCACACCCACACGCACACGCACACGCACACGCACACGCATGCTGTCACAATTTCTCTTTTAGAACCATGGTGCTCTCTCTCTCTGTGCCTTGTCTCTAAATGTAATTTTGTGATTTTTTCTCTTCCTCTCCATTGCGTATCTCTCTCTCTATAAGTTTTATTATTTGTTTTTTAGTCCGCTTGCTTGCTTATCTCTCTCTCATTTGTTCTATGCTTTCTCTCTCTTGGTGCCTAGGCTTCTCTCCGTTTTTGAGCCCATTTTGGTACAACTGTTGTGGGTGGTGGTGGTGGTGGTGGCCGGCTGTGGGGGACCCGCTGGGGCCCGGAGGCTATCTGGCGTGGTTTGCGGCCCAGTGCTTTGCCGCCACGTCAAACCACGCGGGGTCTCCCCCACTGCACGCTTCTCCCTGTCTCTCTCTTTGTCACTCGTGTCTCAGCCACGCGTGTGCGGTGCGGATGGCGACATTTTCTGCTTCAGGGGTGGCGGCCTTGGCTCTCAAGTTTGTTCCGCGACACCAGAGGAGGGGCGGCGCTTCTCACGCTCAAAAGACCAAAATGCCCCGCCATTTCCTCTGGCACACGCCTCAAATGACTCTCATCACCTCCTTCCACTAATATATTTAACTTATTTGTACTCTGGAGCTACATGCAAAATGTGTTTCTATTGGGGACAAACATGTCATTAAGAAGAATATTGGGGCAGTAAAATTAAACAAAAAACAGATTGGGGCAATTTAAGGTGGAAAGAAGCGGACGCATGTTAATTCTCAATCTCAGCCGTCCAACTCAGCTCGGAGAAAAATCCGCGTGGGTCCACCTCGGATTCAGCTAGCGGGAATAGTTTATTCTATCGATTCTACCCCTACTCTTTTTGGTAAAAAGTGAGGCGAAAGATTCACACGTGATCCAATAGTCACACTCTGGCCCCATCTCTCTTCTTCTCCATGCCCTCTCCCCCGATATGTCTCTCATCATCTCTATTTCTCTCTCTACACTTTACCTCTGTCTTTCATTCTCTCTGCCCCATTAATGGGAATGCTCAAAAACAGGCATTAACCATATACAGTGTTCTAATGGACAACTCCACTCAAGTTGGGCTGAGTTTGTAGGAGCAAAAAAGTCTTAAAAAGAAAACATACAAAAAAAATCCAAAAAATTAGTAAAAAATAGATTTTGAAAGATCAATTTGAGGTCAACAGGGTATTTTAATCCAAAAATTATGAAAAAAAAAGTAAAAACAGTTCAATCTTTGCTAAATTGGTAGAACACATAAATATATTACCAATAGATTTCTTACTTCTTTTTTTTAAAAAAATTATATCTCTTTTTAAATTTGTTGTGTAAGATCTACAAGTTGGAACCCTACTCCGAATAACTTGGGTTTGGCCATTTCCCAAGTACCAATAACACTAGAGTTATATTTTAGTTCTAATAAGTTTTAACATAGATAACCCAGGGTGCCTCTCGCTCTCTCTCTCTCTTAGTGGTTAATCCATTGCTTCTTTTTATTTCATTTTCTGTATAGAAAAATAATTTATGTATGGGGGGATGCATAACTACATTTGCATCCGTCAATGCATCACATCCATCTTAAAGATGGATAGAATTGTGGTTTATCCCTAAAATGTTAAAATCTACCATTTGAAATTTTCCTTCAAAACTTTATTTTTAATATTTGTTTATTTATATTTTTATACGTTCATGATTTTCATCTTAGAGATCATATATATCTTAAAAATTAAGTCCAAAATTCATCTAAAAATAGATCATGAAGAGAGTACTCATATCTACATATGGGTACTAGGACTCATAAGAACAATGTCTTTTTTGTTTTATGCATATTTTTAATGAGAAATGATTTTATAGGACCTTCTCCCACCTATGTGCGTAGATTCTTAAAGGATCACCATTAAAGTTGGCACAAATTTTAAAAAAAATCGAAGCTCACATCTATGTGATAATATTTTTAGAGATCGGTACCAACTTTAATAGTGATCTTTTAAAGTCCTACACACGTGAGTGGGAGAGGGTCCTATAGGATCATTACTCTATTTTTCATATGACTTACTCGAAAAGTATAATTTAAAGTACGACCTGACATTCGATCGCCAAACTATTCAATTTCAAAAGTTACTGTTTGTTTGTGTCAACTATTGCAACACTCCCGAAGTTGAATCCTACGGCTGACCAACCTTTTTTAAAAACAAAGAATTATCAGGAATCTTTGTAAACAAGAAACCAAATTAATGTGTCATGGTCAGCCGTTAAGAAACGTGACTAATCACACTTTCCGCCCCAATCGGTCAATTACTCAGCAAGAATTATTAATAAAACCCTATAAAAGCCATTTTCATCCTCGATTTTTCAATTACTGACGAAGATGCGCAAGGAAATTCGAACACTTAAAATATCTTTGTAAAATAAATGCCATTGTCCTCTTGTAATTAATGAGAAAAATAAAGACAAAACGCACCTTTATTTGTAAAAGAATGTCAAACTCCCCATCATCAAAACCACGCCTCGTATATATGTATTCACACTGCCGATGCTTTGTCATGGCGACCGGTCTGTCTCAATAAACTTCCAGCTCTATGAGCGTTAGTGTCGCAAAGCTCGCAACTGCTATGGGTCGGCACGTCAGTCCGACCTAGGAATTGGTCAACCTTTATCGATTATGTCAATATATAGAAAATCGTCCGGTTTTTAAAGAGGACCGACGTTTTGTAACAGTGTTTATTTGGGGTATTATGAGATCTTGTAGATCATGAAAGATGGTATATTTTTTTAATTTTTATTCATATCTTTTATTTTTTTAATTAGTAATATTTCTTTCCCTCCTTCATTGTATCAATTAGGATCGTCGCTTTAAAAGATCCATCAATCATATGCCACTAAAACCTACTCTGCGATTGATGATCCATTGCTACAAACAAATTATAGAAGTTGTGAAATAACATTTTAACCAATGCATAAGGAGCATAAGTCAAAACTATGGAGGGTATTCAAAGAGAGATTTGCAGAATTCGATGAGCGATCGACAAATTGGATTAGCAGCTGCAATTGTTGGAAAACAACGTTCAACAAGAAAATGAATGCCGCGAGCCAAATTTTGTCCTAGAGATGAATCTATTCCCACAACCAACTCAACTTGCCAATCCCAAACGTAACAAGCAAATATGCAGGCAAGATTCACATCTTGTATAGTGTCAAGGTGTGATAGTCGATCTCCTTGAGTTTCATGGTAAGCTCCAAATATAAGGTTTTATTGATTAGTTAAGTGCAGTTGAAATTATTTTTTAATGAAGTGAATTGAAAGAAGAATGTAAAGTTAAAACTTGTTGCAACGCCTCATAGTTATGCAATGACATGGTAGGAACAAATTCAACGATTTCGACTTAGCAATAGAAAGGAAAAAACTTCTTATTAAAAGTGAGAAATTTGTTTTCCCATGGATAATTAACAAATTTTCTTTCAAGACTATAAAAATCTACGACATATTGAGAAGAAAGTTGAGGACTCTATTGGAAAATTCTATAAATTTGTAGCTCAAAACAATCTCCATGATACTGAATGACAAAATGTTACTCATACTAGGAATTCTATAAATTTGTGGCTCAAAACAACCTCCATGAGATTGAATGATAAAATGTTGCTTATTATGTAAATGGTCTCCAACCAGCCATTAGGAACGAGTTCTTTTACATTGGCCATGGATCTTAAAAAAAGCTTTTCAAATTACTCTTACGAGTGGAGACCAAATTACAATGGAGCAATGATAAACACTGTCTCACCTAGAAAGAGTTTCGCATCATCCAAAACTTAATGAG